AGAGAGAGAGAGAGAGAGAGAGAGAGATCACGTGTCCCTGACCACCCGCGCAGCCACGATTTGAAATCTTGTGTAGAGAGTTTTTAAGCGGTCGTTGATGTGAAGTCCTTTCCTGCAATGCTCACATTCATTATTCCCTCCATGCTGCGCTGCATTCGTTATGACTTGTACCATTATCTCTTTGATGTACGATATGAGATGGAACAGACAGTCTGCAACCAGCCTCGCCATTTGTCGCGAATTCGCTTTTGCAACAAACTTTTGAAATGTGTCCGTCGTCATAGGCAGCGCAACAGATTCTGCATCAGCACAAGGTGCTTTGCTCGACACATGGGAAGTTGTGACGAACGTGGTGACAATTCAGTGTGGCAACATCGGTGCACGCTAGCATGGCATGCGGCGCAGGCGCACAGTCCCCGACAGTGGTCCCAATTCCTGTGGAGGTTTGCATTGTTGTGTCGATTTCTTCACTTGCCTTCGTCCTTTCACCTTCTGCACTTCCCATGACAACTTCGTTCGCACAAGTCACCGTCATTTCTCCATCCAATAACCTACCTCGTGTGTGTTGCAGGGCATCAATGACGTCCGAGCAACCGTTCAACAGAGACGTCATATGACAAGGAAGGTCATCCTATCCAATCCCGACACGCTCATCACAGAGACCGTACTCGTCTACGGTTTCCTTATATGCGAATACAGTCTGCTGCGAAGGCCAAGAGGTCGACGACACTGCGTGACGAAGCAGTTAGCGAACCCGTATTATATTATTGGCTATCATACGATGCCCACCCCTCCTTCAGCACACACTTCTCAGGGCTGCCACAAGATGCGACATCAAGTCCTTGTGATTCCCTGTGAGTTCTCTTTGTGACGTGGGCGGCGAACCGATTCAAAACCGCGGTGCGCCTGCGTCTTTCACCATCCAACCATGGCTGGAACTCGTCAAACGTAGTGGTCTTCGTTTCAGCTATTGCCTTCAGTCTGGCAGTCATGTCCTCCCTCACACGACTTATGTCTAAATACTTTGGATCATCTAGCAACAACCAGAAAACAGTGAACATCCTGTGTTCCGTAGTTTCTGTCATTTCTACGAGCAGTGACTTAATACGGCCTAGTTCGTCTGACATCTGTCCCGCCAATTGTTTCTGCTTATGTACCTCGTCTGTTAGCCTGTCTATATGTTCTCGCTGCTTCTCTACTATCTGACCCCAGTTCCGGTCCATCTCAGTCGTCTTCTCTTCTTTGGCCCCCAGTAGTAGAAAGTGATCCGCCGTTGCATTACACTCTTCGCTTGACTTTCTCTTCTGTCCGGTTTTTTGCCAATCTTGACATCTGGAGATATATGTACATACAGAGAAATACAGAGAGAAAGATAGATAGAGAGAGAGATACAGACAGACCCTCACTACTTCCATAGTTGTTGTCAGCGGGCGCCTACCAAAAATTGGCTATATGTACGTGGCAACATACATTGTTATTTATTACTGTACATCTGTGTTTCCCCCGTACATGACTCGATATAACAGTGGACAACACAACTTAACAAATACAAAGCAGACCATTCTTTCGAAATGCATCTGTCGGAATGAGGGAGTGAGAGAGATAAAGACGCAGGAAAGAAAGAATGGAGAGAGAGAGAGAGAGAAAGAAAGAGGATGAGAGAGATTGAGAGAGAGACGCCACAAACAAAGAAAGAAAGAATCGTCCGACAAAACTAAAATTTATAGAGTTCGCTACTGCGGGCCAAAAGTACACTTATGTACCTCGTTCAATGGGTTCGTGGCCCGCAGTACTGAACTCTCTCTCTCTCTCTCTCTCTCTCTCTCTCTCTCTCTCTCTCTCTCTCTCTCTCTCTC